CAGAAGTAGTGCCATTGTATAAATTTTTAAACAACCACCCGATTAATGTTAGTCATTCAAATGCAATAACCAAGAATCCAAAGATCACCAAGTAATCCAAATACACGCAAGCTGTTTCTTTTTGCTCTTTTTTTTCACTTTCTCTTCCTGGGGTTCTATTGTTTTGTTACAAAGTTTCAGTTAAAATGTATCTTTTAGAAGTCTTGTTGAAGTTTTATTGTAGATTCTTTTTAATTCCAAGCAGTCTCCTCCCTCTTTCCAGATCCTGCCCTTTTATTCTTTTTCTCTCCCTTCCTGCTTATGAAAAAAAATTTTAGTGTCCAGAAATCTTAATTATCCCTTTGACATTTTGTTTTATTTTCGGCTTAATTGCCTGTTGATGTCAAAGCGGATTTTTCTGATTTCTTATTTAAGTCTCTTAGTTGTCAGTATAGGGAAAGGGAGAGAAGAAAAAAAAAAACCAAACCTTTCCCTTTTCACTTTCCTTCGCTGCTTCCGACTCTTCTTTGGGAGTGATGTTATTTTTTTTGTAAGTTTAAATTCCAGGGTACCTTAGTTGTTGCTTTTGCAATTTAACCCGGTCAGCCAAAACTTTCTCTTCTTATCTTCCTCCTGCACATTCTTTTCTGGTCGAGTTCTTCTTTGTGGTGGCCATTTCTGACCACCGCTGTAACCACCTTCGGGAAAGGGAGTAATGGCCAGCTGAGGAGGAAAGATGCGGCTCTCCTCAACCCTGCTGGCAGTCTCTCCCCTCTTCACAATCTCTACGGGATGGCTTAGCCCCGAAACCAGCCGGCTTGGGGCGCTCCAGCGGCGAGCCCAGACCGAAACCGCACACGATCACGGATTTCTGTTTGTTGCCGAAGGAACTCAAACCGGAAGCTCTCCGATTCCTTAATTCTAAATATGGATTTGTAGTGAGAGAATTTGCACATTATAGGTTAATCTTGAAAGAGTTTAGTCACTCCTACCATTTCTTAGTATAAGTCAGTGTGTTACTAATATAACATTAAATATAACATTATAACATGGAAGAATGCTTTGGAACAAGAGAGAAAAACATTGTTACTGGTTTCTCTAGTATTTTGTTTTAAATTACCACCCCACTATCCCTTGTAGTTTCTTGTAAGAGGAGGCAGCAAAAATGACAAGTTTCTTTCAGAACTGAATTCACCTAGTGTGAACTGAGACAGTTTTTGTACAACAGCTGTTTCTTCCAAAGCTTGATAACATACTTCAGAATTATTGAGGAAAAGGCTTTCCATGTATTGTTGATTCAGTAAGCATGATAACATCTATATTTTGATTTCTAGGCGAAGTACTAAAGGCATTAAATAAATTTTGCAAGAGGAGAGAAGTTCAGAAACTGGCAGCAGAAAATGGACTGGATGGTATGTAATTCTTGGGGATGAATAAATGAATGTTACTGGATATTTCTTTCAGCTATTAGAAAACCACATGTTCAGATTTGATCGCTTTTGGGGTATTCTAAGCTGGGGCAAGCATTGTTTTCTTCAACTGGGGCCTATTCTTACTGTTGTTCCTTCCTCTTTGAGAACAAAGAGTAATTTGTGTCACTGGAATGAAGTGGATGAAGTTTTGACCTGTTTGGTGTTTGGCTCTTCTTTACATATTGATTTCATGGAAGCTATATGTTACCTTTCTAAGCAGATCTTTTTACTAAAACTGGTCTTTTGTGACCAGCATTACAATATATTTGAATATTGCTGTATAATACAAATGTAGGTTTAGGTCAGGGGTCTGCAACCTTAAACACTCAAAGAGCCATTTGGACCTGTTTCCCACAGAAAACACTGGGAGCCAATAATTTAACCACTGGGGTGACTGGGTGGGTGTGGCCAACTCAACATCAGTCACTCCCCACCCAGTTAAGTTTTATTGACACGTGTTTTAAAATATTTGTATTAAGATACGATTCAGATTTTAGGAATTTTGAATGTTACATGCAGTACCAAACTTAGGTTTGTTTGTTTTTTCTTTTCAGCTCGTCTTTTTCATCAAGTATTTGTAAGTTTTAGGAAATACATTATAGAGTCTAGTTTTCTGAATCCTGATCTGCACATTATTCTCAATGATATATGCTGTGGTGCAGGTAAGTGGATAATAGAACCCTTTGCAATTTGATGCTCTTCAGATATGCTCTCTGATCATTTCCCCTTTATCATGGCCAAATATAACAGGTCTCTTAGATGCCCTGTGTTGGAGATGAATGATGCTAAAACATTTCATAAGCATACTCTTTTTTTTAAAAAAAAAAGTCATGTATATAATTGAATAGTAAATATTATTAGATACACAGCTGTTCATAAATGAATGAATCAAATTTATTATCATTGCCCAGTGATTAATACAATTTTATAGCAGAAATTATAGAGTAGAAGAAAAACTAGAAGCCAGAGAAAGCCGATCAAACTTACTTAAACCCTAATGTTTATCTTTTGTTATTTGTTTTGTTAGGTTTAATTTGGAGTAGTCATATTTCCTGAAAGTCATGTGGAGTTACTTTCCAGTTAATTTTTAGAGGTGTGAAAAATTATATACAGACAGAAATTGTATAGAAAACTACAAATACCCTAAATATGTCTTTGAATGGGGCATACTTGTGATTTTTTTAAATGCATGTTTTTCTCTTCTTTTATCCCTCAGGTCATGTTGATGATCTGTTTCCATTTTTCTTGCAACATGCTAGGCAGATCTTTCCTATGTTGGAGTGTATGGATGATCTACGTAAAATCAGTGATTTAAGATTGCCTCCAAACTGGTTAGATTTTTAAATTACCTATAGATACTGTGTAATCATTATCATTTATGTTAGGGATACACCCTAGCAGAATCTGCACAGCAGTCAGGCAGGCAGGCAAAATATGTGAGATAAACGTTTTTGTAGCTTACACTCAGTAAAACAGATACACAGTGCTAATTAAACAGTTTATTCCAGTAAGAGTTATAGCATAGTCCAACAGTCCATATATCATTCACTAGTTCAGTCCGTCCAGGGATTATTCAGTTGCAAATTCCAGTGTCGAAAAAGAGAGGTCAGTAAACTTACAAATATCAGTCCAGTAATATATCTCCTTGCAGTAGAGATATGAAGAACTCAAAAACTCCTCTCTTCCTTCAGCAACTCAGCAGTAGGGGAAACACGCAGTTAACAAACCATCAATCCAAGCAATCCAGTAATTGTCAGCAATCAGTCAGGTTCTCTTGCTCCCTCTTATGGTGGTTTCACACCGCACCCAAAATTACATGCTTTGCAGTTTTAAAGTGACACACACTTAAACTTACAATCATAGTTTATATATATTATTTTACCCAAACTACGTTAGGTAACCTATGTTATTCCTTATAATTTATATTTGTACTGAAGCATATTAGATTTCTTCTAGTTAACAGGAGTCTGTTAATGTTACTGGAATTACAAGATGACTTTTACCTATTTGAAATGTTGGCTATTGAACTTGAGATCATGTAGCTTTATAGTAAACATGTATATATTTTAAAATTTCAATAATATGCTCCTCTCTGATGCTGGCTATAGCTCATTTTGGAGTAACTTCTGTTCAGTTAAGTTAGGTGTGCTTGAAATTAATGAATGTAGGATTCCAGTCCATGTTTAGATTTACATGTTGCACTTAACCTGACATGGTTGGCTTATGGCTTAGTATATTGTGTATGGCTGGTCACTGTTCATCAACATGCTGTCACTTGGTGCAGTATGCAAATTAATTTATATCTGATGCATATTCTGTTCAGAGACTTATTTGAAATTGCATACTTACAGTATATGTTTGGCTATCTTAGTTTTAGTTAAAGTTTAGAGACTTGGAAATTTGGACAAGTAAACCTGGCTTCTGGACAGTTTCTTTTACTGTCGTACTTTGGCTTAGTTTTGGTGCAGAAATGCTTTGGTTCAGTTTCCTGTATTGTTAAAACAGAAATACTCAAGAGTACATAATTTGATTACCACTTTTGCACTCAGTTTACTTGGTAAATTTTGATGGTAAGATATTTTTCACTTAAAATATTTCCAATAGATCAAACAACAGAAAAACATAATACCCTAGCAATCAGTGGCAATAATAAAATTTAACCAAGTTTGGATTCTAAATAATGATAGCTTGCAGTCACAAATATTGTTTTTTTTTCCTAAAATGTACTGAAAATAAAGTACTTAGAATACAGGCAATCCTTGACTTACGACCACAATTTCCCAACATTCCTTTGCTAAGCAAAACAGTTGATAAATGAGTTTTGCCCCCATTTGATGTCCTTTCTTTTCAGAACTATTAAGTGAATCATAGTAGTTGTTAAATTAGTAACACAGTAGTTAGGAGCATCTGGGCTCCCTGTTGCCTTGCTTGTCAGAAAGTTGCAAAAAAGGTGATGACATGACTCTGGGACACTGCAGCTACATGAATAAATACATGAATTTTGATCATAGGACCGGGGGGGGGGGGGGAATGCTGCAATGGTCGTAAGTGTGAAAAACAGTCATATGTCCCTTTTTTTCAGTGCCATTATAACTTTGAACAATCACTAAATGAATGGTTGTGAGGACTACCTGTAACCAAAAATGTCTTCATTAAAAAAAATACACAGTATTTGAGAAATCATGTGAAACTTTACAGTAGAATAAAATTCTCCTTTTCTGAGGGCAGAGCATATACTTAGGAAAGAAATTCAGAAGACATCATAGTAGTATTGTGACATCACCAGAAAAGAGATGGAATATCTCTGGGTGATATATTTGAGATGGAAGTTTAACCTTCACTTTAAAAACAGAAACATCAATTTATTAAACCTTACACAATCTTAGTTTTCAAAGGGCTGAAAAACAGCTTTGTCAAATGTTACCACTTAGGTGCTGCATCTTAACACTCAATCTGGTATACTCCAGGCAGGGCAACAAATAAAACGTCTGGGAAGGGCTGTGTGTTGTCCATCCCAGATGTAAGAAAAGACGCAAAAGTGGTATTGTAGGGAACACCCTTGTTTTTTCCTTTGTTTTTCTTACCTCATTTTCTCCACCCCATTTCACCTAGGGGTGACTAGTTTAGTTTACTTTACTTTAGTTTATTGTCATTGCACCTCGTACAACGAAATCAAACACCATCTTCAGTGCACTTCATGACCATGAAAATAAACACAAACACACATCCTTCACACCCCAAACATTGAATTGGAAACTCCCGATACCACACCAATACAGTACAGCACTATACAGTAGAGTTCAACAGAGCTACTGCCCTGGGATAGAAGCTGTTTTTCAGCCTATTTGTCCAACTTGCTATTAAACAATCATCCTCCAAATGTTACAGAGCTACACATTTAATGATGACTAAGTACGAATTCATTTTACTTGATTTATTGTTACATTTCTACTTATGTGTTCTAGGTATCCGGAAGCCAGGGCCGTTGAAAGAAAGATTGTGTTTCATGCTGGCCCTACAAATAGTGGGAAAACCTATCATGCAATCCAGAGATATTTAAAAGCAGAATCCGGAGTATATTGTGGTCCTTTAAAGCTCTTGGCTCACGAAATCTTCCAAAAGAGTAATGATGCTGTCAGTATGTTATTGAATTTGCTTCTGATATTGCCTTTTTTGCAGTCATTCTGTGAACATGATTGTTGGTTTAAAAAATGTGCGTTGTCAGTGTCTGTCTGGAGTCCAAATACAGCTTATAAGGTGGAGTGAAAAAACATAAAGAGTTTTTAGAAACAGTGGGTGGGTTTTAAGGTTACGGTATTTTTCAAGGGCATTCCAAATTTAGAGTCTGCTAAAGATAGCAACAAAAAAAAAGTGGATTTCAACGAATTGTATTGGCCATGAGAAAGCTTTCACCACTGGAATAGGGAAGATAACAATTGTCAGTGGTTTTCACTCTTTACTACAATTTACTAACCCTCTCAGAAGTCTGCTCTGGAAGAATCCAAATCTTTCTGGACCATATTTTAGAGAAAAAGAGATTTCTTCCACTGCGTTCTAATAATAGAAATCTTCCGCTTTAGGTTACGTGAATCCATGATGTCATAAGACCACAGGTAGACCTAAGTTAACCACCACACTTTCCGCAAACATTCATAGTTACAGTGAATGTCCTTACGCATGGACCTCGCAATTACAGCCATCCCATCACCCATACAGTCCCATGAACCCAATTGGGGTGCTTGGCAACTGGTTCGCGCTTAGGGCATTGCAATGTCCTGCGTTCATTTGCGATCTTCCCTACTGCCTTGCTGCCCCGCCCCCCCACCCCCACCCCCGCACACACAAATCAATGGAGAAGCAGTCAAGGAAGGTTGTAAGTCTCTGGTGAGTTGTCCTCCCCCACACCTTTGGCTTCACTGCACTCATACCTCACCAGCCATCCACACCCCTTCCCTATCCAGTAGTAGCCACTTACACGGGCCATCGGCCTGCTTGCAAGCCTCCTGGGACCTTCAAGGAGGCCCTTTTTTTTTAACGATAGCAGTGTTGTTGTCGCTAAGCAAGCCAGTAATTCGATATCACATTTTAACAACTGCCTCACATAGTGAAGAAAATTTCAATCCCAATTATTGTTAAGAGAGGATTTATCTGTGGTTTTGTTATCGCTTTCAAGTGCTTTGTTTGGGAGTGCCTTGTCTTTGAAGGAAATGTTCATTTCGTTTTTCATTTTTTAACGTTACAGAATGTACCATGTGACCTGATTACGGGAGAAGAACGAGTCTGTATTGATCCTGAAGGGAGAGCAGCTGCCCATGTTGCTTGCACTATTGAGATGTGCAGTGTTAACACACCTTGTACGTAGGCGCTTTTTTTTAAAAAAAAAACATATTTAGTTTTGAAGTGCTTGTAATATTGTATACAAAATTGGCCAGAAGAGAAAACACAACATAGTTTTTAATGCCCATTAAAAGATGCCCACTTCAAATACTTCATTACGGAAATGCCTCTTATTCCTGTAGTGAGAGTTTATGAATGTTAGTAAACTTTTACATTTGACAGATAAACAAATGACTCTTTTATTGCGTGCTGTTCTTTTAAGATGACGTGGCTGTGATTGATGAAATTCAGATGATCAGAGATCCTTCCAGAGGCTGGGCCTGGACACGAGCACTCTTGGGTACGGGCAGTTGATTATTACCAAATGGTGTTACCTTAATGCATATTGTATGTAATTTGCAGCGTAGTGTTTTCGAGCAATCTTCCCAAGTCTCAAGCTCACAAGATTTGTTCAGAGTACATTGGCCAACACTTTCAGTCATGGAAAAATCCCACAAGTTTGGATGCCTTCGATATTTGTTCTAAAAATTTGTCAGGTTCTAAAACTCAAGAATAACATGTGGAGTTACTTCTGAGTAGTGTCTTTATTATTGTTTGCCTACAGACAGAATCTTACCAGACTAAAGCAATACATAACTATATAGACATACTCTGAACTGTTAGAGAGGGACCATCTTATCCCTACCTAGCAGACATCCCAAGTTCTGTTGCCTTTTTACCCCCACTGGGGAAAAGCCCTTCCTCCTGGGACTACAGAATGGCTGGCTGGGGAATTTTGAGAGTTTGGGAGTTCACATGCCTTAAAATGGCTGAGGTTAAGAAACGCCACTATAGACAAAGCATTTTGTTTTCATGTAATTCCACCATGTAATTTTGTAATGCTTGTACATCATTATTTTGTTCAGGACTTTGTGCAAAAGAAATCCATGTTTGTGGCGAAGAGGCTGCTATTAATTTAGTGACAGAGCTCATGTTTACTACAGGAGAAGAGGTTGAGGTAGGTGCTCTTCTTTGCTTTCCTGTATATCCAGGATAAGAAAGGAGGCCCAATGGTTGGAGCTGCAGGAAAATGTATGTGTGTGAGAGAGAGAGAGTGATTTTTTTTTTCCTCTGGAGTTTGGGAAATCATTTTAAGTGTTTTTCAGTCGTTCCCTTCTTTCTAAAATATATCTTGTAGGGCTTATACCAGGGGTCTGCAACCTTAAACACTCAAAGAGCCATTTGGACCCGTTTTCCTGGAGCCAATAATTTAACAATTGGTGTGACTGGGTAGGTGTGGCCAACTCGACATCACTCACTCACTCCCAGCCAGTCACCTCCTGCTCTGGAATATGGAGCAAGTCTCCAACCCCCGCTATCACCCTTCTTGGGCCAGGCAAGGGGTGACGGGGAGGGGAGGGGCCAGCTAGTGGTGAAATCGGCCGACAGGGGGCCGCAGCAGAGGACCGAAAGAGCCGCATGTGGCTCTAGAACTGCAAGTTGGAGACCCCTGGCTTATACTATGGTTTTCATGTGTTTCCCACTCAAAGTAATGGTAATTATATTTCTGGTTTTGAGTAATTATGGACAGAATGGACTCTTAGGGTTCAAAAAAGTGCCTCAGGATCCTTCAACCCCTTTGAAACCTCGTATTGTCCAATGAGTCAAGGTTGACTCAGCCTTCCGTCCTTCTGAGGTGGGTAAAATGAGGACCCAGATTGTTGGGGGCAGTAGGCTGACTTCGTAAAACTGCTTAGAGAGGGCTGTAAAGCACTATAAAGCGGTATATAAGTCAAAGTGCTATTGCTATTTACTGTGCAGATTTCTTCCAGATGCTTTTCCTTAACAGATAAAATAAATAAAGTATATTTTATCCCCTCCACCAGCAGTTAATATCCTTAAAGCTAAATTGCTCAGTGATATTTACTGAATGCAAATTATACGGTGCTTTTACACCACGGG